CGCAATTAAATATTCGATGATACTAAAACGTAGTTCAATGAAGTACATTCGACCGAATTGTGCATCGAAGTTCAAAAGAGGCATTTAGTTGCGATTCAGTGCGATATGGGAGTCGAGTTGGTCTGAATTAAACTATTGGTTCTTCCATTATGCCTATTTTTTGGATTTCGATATAACAACCATACCTTGCAAGTCATAAAGGATTGCATTAATGGTTTTTAAATCGATAAATTCGTGCTTTGTTCATTTTCTTATATATCTATATGAGAGAGGCCGCTTTTTCTAAACTTTATGGCTGACAGCTTTTTATAAATGGTAAAATCATGATCTTCTATTGCATTTTTTTACGAAGATCTTCAAAAAATAGCATAATGACAAGACATATTTTCAGATATAAGGGAGTTCAATGATTGAACTGAAACTATCTGTGAGTATCAATATTCAAAAATTTGATTAGAAAAACAAATTTAAAATCAAAACGTTGATGCACGATTTTTGTGCCTGTTCGACTTGATAAGAGTGAAAAAATGCCTATTTTAGTCAATTTTCGATCATGTATCTGATTGTCGGAGCCCACTTGCTTTCTGAAATGTCTTCCAACACTAGATCTACATATATGATAACATTGCGACAAGAACTTCAGTTTATTTCAACAATGCATTGTTTCAGAACAATTGAATAGAAAGTATTACTTTATAGTCAACTTTGAATTGAACCTCAAGAAACGTTTTGGTCACAAACTTCATACCAACAGCTCCAAATAGGAAACTAGCTATAAATTCTGAGTCTCAGGGGTGGTAAGAAACTTTTTCATGCTGAACCCTTGGGCAATTTTTCGCGTGGAACAGACTCAAAACCGGTGCCGGATTGACCGTTTTGTCGATGACAAACTCAATTCGAATGAACTTTTCAAACAGGTCTGTTGTCACCTGTTTTTGCTGGTTTCAACGATTGAGTCAATAATTTTCTAGTTGGTATCGAAATTTCAGCCCATTAGTTTAGATCTATAGCTTCCCACTATACAATAAATGATTTCGAAACACACTGAATGTATCGATGATGGTCAAGAAAAAGTACCCACTGAGTAAGAGCTTAAATTCGATCTAAACTAGTAATTATCTATCTCAGAATTGCAAGCTCACTTCTGAACTGCTTGCCACTGACTACCAGAAACTCTTAATGGCCATCTGATGAAAATTTAAAAGAAAACTTAAGTCTTAACAGAATAAGTCTAAAGTTATGCAGGCTATTTTAAAATCAAACTTTGCATCTCATTTAGGTTTTTCATCGACAAAAGTGACCGACGAATGGAAAAGTCCTTCAAGTAAGGTTGCCAGTTTTTCTTACCTTTTTCAAAGCAACGAAAGCTAAAGCAGCATCCTACTTTTCCGTATGCAAAATATTTATTTTAAAGTAAGCAAGCATCAAACTTATTGCTTATTGCGAAGAAATCATATAATTTTGAAGGAAGAGTTGTTAAAATAAAGTACAGATATTTTGATTTATATCTCTTATTGTAAGATACCGAATGAAAATTTTTAAATCAATTTTCTTTTGCTTCGTAGTATTGGCGTTTGTGGGACGCGACGGTCTAAACGAACGATGTTAATATTAGAAATCTCAAGAGTAATACGAATTTAACTCATTTTCTTTGAGAAGCTGTATTAATACACTTTTTTCAAAAGAAGTAGTTTGCTGAATCATGCAATTGGGCAAGCCAGGTTTCCATCGATTTCAAGTCTAGCATAAAATATGAGGTTGATATTCTTTTTTGCAGACTTCCTAGCACAGATAACTCACTGTACGGTTAAAATTTCATTAATTGTAGTTGCTTCTTGATAACCTTTATCAAATAATCGTTTCTATTCGATGAAGTAACTGATGAAAGGATACATCACAGCAATGTGCCTTGTGAGAAGCAACACCTAGCATATTGATAATTTGTTATTTCTTTTCGTAGAGGCGATGGTTACTAATGGAATTTTAAAGTTCCAAATATGAAGTGACTATTCGACTTCCAAGATAAGCTTCTTACATCTTTAATACTTCCAGACTTCGGATAAGCAAGGTCCTTGTAGTCGATTAACCTACGTAAAATAGCATTTTGTCAAAAATAGACCGTTTGACATTTGGTTTTTGCTTGAATGAAACAGGATTTCAAACTTTTTTAAAGATACAAAAAAAAACCAAAGAATACTAGCCAATGGAGAAAAGGATAAGTTTCGATTTTTAATAGTTATTGATGGTTACCAATAACTTTCATTCGAGTTTTATATCCAGCTTCAGAAGTGTTTTTTTTATATAAACACCACAAAGTGTCGTTCAGTTTGTTATTCACGTAGCAAACATCGTATCAAAAATAGTTTTCAAAAGACGGTAGTGACAATATTGATATATCAGCAAAAGCAGCATCATATATCCGAAAAATCGAAAATGCAAATACAACATTACATCTTGTACGCGTGAGTGGATCCCTATGAAAGATGAGCACATCTCTAGTATCTCTGAATTTCCGTGATCTTCCATCGAAATTTTCTTATGGGTGGAAGCGTTGGAAGACACATTTCACACGATACAACGAAATCGATTCGATAGGAGACAAATCTATAACAGATGTACTAGATCTAAGTTCATCTGGTTCCGAGATGCATTCATACGTCACAGATTAGCTATTAGTTTGCATCCTCCACATCTTCCCTTTTTCGAGCGTGTGACACGACTTTTTCCCTAAGAGTAACAGAATAATTAACATTAGTTGAACTTGGAAACTTTATCTAATATAGTGATGTTCACACTAAAGACTTACAAGTATCAATATGAGCAGAATACAGTAACAAAGTTCTAATCTATGGTCCTCTATTTTAGATGGAACTTATTTTCTCCACTCAAGAGATAACGATAGAGAAAAGGAGATGCATAATTTTTCCATTATCGAAGTTAAAATATATTCAAGACCATTATTACAAGATAACAAAATAAAACAGGAGGTGGCTGTGGGAATCATAAATGGAAACCTACACCATGTCAGTTAATTTGCCTGAATGAGTCATTAGAGTACCATGTCTAGATGTGTGTCATAAATAGTCTATGATACACGTCACAAAGTCATACCCTAAAAAGTAAAGCTTCAGCTAATTTATTTCAAAATTTTTCAGATCGAATATATTGAATATTTATATATTTCAACCATCAATGTCAATTGTGTTTTACAGCAAAAAGTCATATTAAGTTTATCTTTGAACTACTTTGAATCCTTTGAACTTTCATTTAGAAAAGCCAGAATTCGCCGTCCATGCTGCTTACCAGCCACTGCCTCAGAATTATTCATTTCTCATATGACCATTGATAAATATGATAACTTCCAGCGTTTCCTCTGAACAGAAAAAAGTAGATTTACAGAGCGTTTGTTGTAGGTATTCATTTATTCTATGGTTTTTTCACTGGTTGATTGAAACTGAGCTTTCACTTAGAGGACGGAAAATTAGTGAGAAGAAAATTAAGGGTCGTTGTATTCAGTCACTTGTAATGTCGTACTATAATTCATTCAAGAACTGCTTATTGTGCTTTGACAGCATAAAGAGAAACGAACAGAATTCTCATAAACGTGATTTATCTTTTCCACAATATTCAATCCTACCACAAACTAGAACAATATCTTTTTGATGGAGCAAGATTCTGGAATAGAACCCTTGTGCCAATTGCGGTAAATGCCGTTGCATTTATTCGTTTCTCCTATGATCTTGAATTTCTCGATCAACTTCGAATCTTAATATTTGAGGAAAAATAACACAAATGAACAGAGCACTGATTCGACAGATTCATTTAAGATACAATCTTCTTTATGTTTATCTATTTTACATCCTTCATTACAAAGTTT